ATACAGTTCTAGTTCATATTTGGCTGTAGGTGCTGATTGTCTTTTAAAATTACATTTTTATTGTTGAAACAATAAACAGCAACATTAAAGGACATTTAATGGAAAAAACCATCTATTTTTCCACAGTCTCTTCTCAAGTACTATTATCATAGTCATTTCTCTGTATTCTATGTTTTTATCCTGTATTCATTTGTTTAAAATGTACAGTATATGTAACTGTCTATTGCTTTTCAGTTTGACATTATTAAAAATACTTCATCATGTTTACATTGACCCTTTTGAGTAGTGTGCTGTTTGATCAAGTACAAAGTATTTTATTATACCTTAGTTGTTACTGGCACTTTAGAGTCTCCTGTTACTGGGCTGTGGAGTCAGCCAGATTAGTAGAGTACCAGCTACTCCATTTTCTTAGCTTTGTCGTGACCTTGAGCAAATTATTTAACTTTCTGAGGCTATTTTCTTACCTGTAAATGTTATGTGCCTGGCACTTGACACTCCATAAATGTTTGCTTTCTTCTGTTGTGGATGATATCTTAATTTCTGCTAAACTAAGTCTTTCTTTCAGTAGTTTAATTTTCTGTTTCTACTTGTTAGAAGTACTCCTTGGGGCTTGTGAGGTTTTTATTTTTCTCGTTTATAAAAGAATAACATAATTATAACTTAATAATTGAATTAGTTCTCATAATGACCCTCCCCACTTTAGTTTGATAGTAGATCAGTTTGTATCATTAGAAAACATATGGCCAAGTTAGAGCCTACCCCATAGTGGAAAACAATCTAGCTAAATCCCTTCTGAATTCTTTCATGCTATCAGATTAGGGCCTTTCCTGGGGTTGGTTTGATAGATGTGGTTGTGTTTTCTTGTGGAATGTTCATTTGAATGAGCTGATGAAGACTGGCTTATGAGATATCTTTGTCAGGGACCTTCTTTTTGGTTAAAATATGTATTCTGACCCCAAAACTTTTTCTTTGGTTAAGTCTAAAGGCATTTGGAAAGTGTTGGCAGTACTATTAAGGAGCTCTGGTGGTGTAGTGCCTAAGGCATCAGACTGCTGCCATTCTGTGGAAGGAAGACTGGGAAATCTATTCCTGTAAAGATTTACCACCTTGGAAACCCAAAGGGTGTCGCTATGAGTCAGAATCAACTTGATGGCAGTGAGTTTGGTTTGGCAGTACCATTAGTGAAAATTTAGGACAAGGCACAATCAATGAGATCATGGCCCCAGGGACTGTATTGTTGCTGAGACCAGAAAAAGTGCTAAAATGAAACATTTTTAGGTGCTTGCTACAAGCTGTGAAATAAGCTGTAATTTTTGTTTTGTTCCAATTTAGAGATATATTCTTGCTTTTCTAGACTTGACTAAGTGCTTTTAGATGTTTTTATGGAGTTTATTTTTGGTGAACAGTTGGTTCCCTGGTTGAGGCTGTCTCACACTTTTGAGGATATATGCAAGATGTGTTTCTGCTGAGATGGAATTAAATTCTTGCTTTCTGATTGAGTGTTAGTTGACTTATTTTCAGCATTTCATTTCTATAATGGAGTTAAAATATTCACTTTTTTTTAAATTGTGATTTGGGTGAAGATTTGCAGAGCAAATTCACTTTCCATACAGCAGTTCACATATACTTTGTCTCATGTCATTGACCACAGTTTATCACAATGCAACAGCGCCCCTCCCACTTCTCCCCATAGTTACCTCTTCCCAGTGTCCATCCCTCCATACACTCCTGCCCCCTGAGCTGTCTCCCTGTGCATAAGCAGCCCTTCCTTCTCCCATGATTGTTCTCTCCAGGGCGTGTGTCTACTTGAGGTAAATGTTTAACTCACATGCCTGTACTTTGACTGGAAACCACAGGTGTGGGTTCAATTCCAGACCTGAAGGGCAGCTAGGGGCCATAGTCTCAGTGGTTCCACCAGGCTCTATTGGACCAGCAAACCTGGTCCCTACCTTCTTTTTTTTCCTCCAAATGATTTTGAGTTTTGTTCCACATTGTTCTCCCTCTCTATCCAGGATCTCCTGCGTAGATCCCCTTCCAAGTGGATGACAGTGGTAGCCGGGCACCATCTAGTTCTTCTGGTCTCATAGTTGTATAGGTTGCAGATCAGATGGTGTACAGTCGCTAGAACTAATTGTTTCCATTAATTTTGGTTTTCTTTATTCTTTGCTTTTGATGAGGAGAGACCCATTGTTGCATCTAGATGGCAGCTTGCTAGCTTTTAAGATCCCAGTCGCTACTCGCCAAAGTAGGAGGTGAACAATGTTTTGTATAGTATATTATGCCAATTGAGCTTGATGTCCCTTGTGACTATGGTCTCAAGCCCGCAGGTTGAACTACTCGGTCCCTCTGGGTAGCTGGCTGTGACCAAGCAGTGACCACCACCTTGCCCCTTGTCAGCTCTACTATACACCTGGGAATTTTTATCATTCACTTACACTTATAGGACCATTATCTGCCAACCCTATATATGATCTTGGATGCACTCCCCATTTCATAGACATACCTAATCGTTTAGCCTGTCCACCTATCTATCCATCCACATACCCATGTTTGCCTTCACTGACAACTCAGTACTGTATATGCAAAAGAGTTCATATTTGTTGTCTGTACCTCCCATGTACCTCTCTATGTCTTTCTCATCCTCAATGCTGCCATATTGGTCACTCACATTTGGTACATTGGCCTTGTCTTCACCCAAATAAAAAAATACTCACTTTTAAAATGTTTCTTATTACAAAGGAACAGCAACAAAAAGTATTTTAAAAAATAAAGGATCAAATAATTATCTTAGTATTTGATTGTGTTTAATTATGATTATGTGATCTGATGATCCAAATGTGTTTTTTCTAACAATTCCTCTATTGTATTTTACAAATAGATTTTTTAAAACACTTTTATTGTAATTTTGGTGAAAGTTTAAAAAACAAATTCATTTTCCATACAGCAGTTCACATACATTTTGTCTCATGACATTGACTGCAATCTCCCACAATGCAACAGCTCTCTTCCCACTTCCTCCCCATAGTTACCTCTTCCCTGTGTCCTTCCCTCCCATACACTTACAAATAGGGTTTTAAAATGATATAATTTTATTGATTTGTAAAAGTATTTAAAAAGAAGAGCTTGAGTTTGAATTTTAGCTTCAGAGTTCACTAACTCAGTGACAGTGGCATTCTCTTTGATATTTTTCTGACCTGTAAAATAGGGATGATAATATTTCTTATTATCACATGTGTACAAAGTTAATATCTGTTAAAGTGTGCACTAAATCATAAAGGCCCACCCAAATGTTTGCTGATTTCTATTTAATTTAAAATGCATCAGTCTGGAACAGAGGCTATGATTAGTTTTGGCAATTGCATATAGTCACACCAACTGTTTTCTAGAGACTTTGAGGAGTAGGTTATAAATATGGAAAAGGAAAAAAAAAAAAAGAAAACTGACACTTTTAAATAGTTCGGTAGTATATACTTCAATATGAAAGAATAATGGATTCATAGGTAGATATTGCTTCTGAGGTTCTATGGAAAACTTTATTGAATGCCAGATAATTGTCCCTTAATTCAGTTTGCTTCTTTTTATTGATTCCAAGGATACCAAATATTAACCTCCATGGCTGATTTAGTCTGTGAAAGTTCCCTTATGAGTGAATTATTTCATTATAGTAAAGACTATTGGATTCCATCTAGGTCTTTTCTGGTATAGCTACACATAGCATTTTTTCCCCTTAAGTCACTTTGTTTTCAGTTCAAGTGTGAAGTTGAATTTTAGGGAAGTGGATTCACTTTAACCACTGTAAGACTCCAGTTATGAAAGTTCTTCACATTTATGGTGGTACTCTGTGAAATAGCTCCAAAAAATTTTTGGTTGATACTGACTTTCAGGGATTTCAGGGACAGTGATAGATTTTTGAAAGCACTTTGAGGGTTTTGTTTTTGTTTTTGTTTTTTTTGTGCTTGATAGTGCGATGAAAGCCATTCAAGCAGCAAATTAGGAGCTACTTTACTGTGGCATTTTGTAGAAAATACCTTACCTTGGTTATTTGATTCTGGATTAACAGAAGGAAGCCTTTCTTCTTCTTCTTTTTTTTAAATGCATTTTATTGAAATATAATTTATGTACAGTGAAATACACAAAACTAAAGTGACATGGATCAATGTGTTTTTTTTTTTTTTTTTTTTTGCAGTGTTCCCTCCCCTCCCACCCCTGGCAACCAGCAAAGAAAGTTTCCCTCCATAGATAAACCTTTCCTTGACCCTCCACAACAATGAACTAATACTATATTTGTCCTTCTGTGATTGACTTATTTTACTCAACATAATGTCCTCCAAGCTAATCCATATTATGTGGGGTTTTGCAGACTCTACATTATTCTTTAGTGCTGCATAGCATTCCATTGTGTGTACGTACCATAGTTTGGTCATCCACTCTTCCACTGATGGGCACATAGGTTATTTCCATCTTTTTGCTATTGTAAATAGTGCTGCGATGAACATGGGCATGCATATATATCTGTTCCTGTCCTGGATCTCACCTCTAGGATATATACTTAGTAATGGGATTGCTGGGTCAAATGGTATCTCCAATTCCAGGAATTGCCATATTGCTTTCCTTAGTGGTTGTATCATTTCATAGTCCCACCAGCAGTTTATGAGAGTCCCAATCTCTCTACATCCCTACCAGCCTTTGTTATTTTCTGTCTCATTGAATCTTGCCATCAGTGCTGGGGTGAGATGGTATCTCATTGTTGTTTTGATTTGCATCTCTCTGGTGGCCAGTGATTGTGAGCTTCACTTCATGTATTAGCTGGCCACCTGAATATCTTCCTTGGTGAAGTGTCTGTTCAAGTCCAAGACCTGACTCCTGGGGCACTTGATCTCCAATCTGTGCTCTTCTACTGTGTACTGTGTACTGAGTCCTTTTTTACCGTGTGCATAGCAAAATGTAAAACAAATAGATTTTCGCCATGTGTTTACCTATTTCACTGTGTTTATTTTTAGGAATGCTTCTTACTGCCAATGAAACCCCGAAGATGGGCATTTATTACATTCCGGTAAGTACTACAAATAGGAGTTATGATTGAAATAGGACAAGCAAGGATGCTTTATTTTTAAATTGAATGTATGGGGGAACTTTGGGCTTTGTAAATTAATGTACAGAGGACTCACATGTAGATTGAGTTTGCTTCCTGGAGCTAGTAAAATAATGTTTAGGACTGGTATTTAAACACTGCTTTATGGGAAACTATTTAATATCATGTTAAAATAGGCATTAGAAATCAGTCTCAATTCTTAAGATTTACATTTGCTTTGTTTCCAACAGTTTCAGAATCTTAAACTTTCAGATATTAGTGATCATAGGAAGTGAACCATGTGTAATTGCTACATATTAGTAAGTAAGCACAAGTAAGCCTGTACTTACTTTGCTTGTTGTATAATCTTCCCCTGGAGGCAAGGAGTGTTAAATATCATAATTTTAGGGAAATGAACTCTTCTTAACCACCGTGAGCCTCCAGTTACACAATTTCTTCATATTTGTGATGGTTCTCGATGAAATTGTTCAGCTGTATGTCTATTTTCAAAATAGTGTATTGGTTGATATTGACTTTCTGTGGTTTCAGGACACTGATATGTTGTTGTTGAAAGCTCTCTGAGAGACTTCTTTTTGTTGGTAGTGACAGCAAGCTTTTTGGTTATCCTAAGTTGTAATTTGTTGCTCTTTTCCCTCTCACAGATAACTGCTTCTGTATTCATATCATTTTATTTATCCGTCTTTCTCTGAATTCATTTGTTGCTTGCATCAGCTGTGTCAGATACAATGCCAAGTGCTGGCAGTGTAACAGTGTGTAGAGTACTGTTCTTTCCTAAAGGAGTTTATAGTTAGGGACTGAAACAGGAAGCTCACTGCCATCAAGTCAATTCCGACTCATAGCAACCCCCATTGGGTTTCTGAGGTGGCAAATCTTTATAGAAGTAGATTGCTCTGTCTTTCTTCCACAGAGCAGCTGGTGGATTTGAACCACCACCTTTGAGGTTACAGTCAAATGCCTTAGGCATTGCATCACCAGAGTCACAAGAAGCTAGGTGATTTCAATTTGATGTAATGAATGCCATAGTAGAGATAAGGAAGAGTACTTTGAAAGGGTGCTTGGGGGAGAGACATTTAACCCAATGTGGGGCTGAGGGATGGTGGGAAGTGTAGAGGGTAATCTCTGAGAAAACTTCCCAGAAGAAATGGCTTCTAAGATGAGACCTGAAGGATGATTATGTATACTAGATGAAGGGTGAGGATAGAGTGGAGTGCAGGATGGGAGAAAGGTTTGGAAGTGGAGGGAATAGTATGTGCAAAGAATAGTATGTGCAGAGAGAGGAATGGAGGGTTAAGATATAAGGTTAAAGGCTTACTCAGGAGCCAGACTGTGAAGGGACTTGTAAACCTGGTATAGGAATGTAGGGCAGAGAGTCTTGTAAAAATTTAAGCAGGGCAATGATACGATCAGATTTGCTTTTTAGAAAGATTACTTTGGCTGAGAAAATGGATTAGATAAGAATCTAATCAGGAAGCAACCAGAGCTAGCTGTGTAGCAGTCTGCATGTACAATGATAGTGGTATATGTTTTCTATATCAGGTCTCCCTTTTTAGTCCTTGTGACTTTCTTGAGTCCTGGGATAATTTGACTAATCTGGCTGGCAGTACTTTGAGATGGTTTGTTATCCTTGAGTTGTCAAATGCTGTTTGTCAGGCTTGTTCATTGACTAAGATTTATATGCCTTACCTTAGTCCAGTATCACGTAGTCTTTCCCCAGTTTCAGCCTGTTTTGGAAATACTGTCAAGAGAGCCAGAATGAATTAGTTTGCTCCTATACCCTTTACCTCATGTTGTGGGAGGAGTATCCTTTCATTTTCCTTGTAGGGGTGAGTGCCATCTTTGATCTTCACCAACTGCCTATGAGATGCCATTGTCTTGGATTTTGGATCCTTTCCCCATGTCGAAAATATACTACCCAATGACATGATGGGAGCTCTGGTAGCATAGTGCCTAAGGCACTTGACTGCTAACCAGAAGTCTGGCGGTTCAAATCCACCAGCCACTCCTCGGAAGGAAGATGGGGCAGTCTGCTTCCTTAGTGGTACTGCCTTGAAAACCCAAGGAGGGGTTGCTATGAGTTGGGTCTGACTCGACAGCACATAACAACAACAACAACAAATGATATGAAGGAGCTCTGGTAGTGTAGTGTCTAAGGTACTTGACTGCTAACTAGTAGGCTGGCAGTTCAAATCCACCAGCCACTCCTCGGAAGGAAGGTTGGGCAATCTACTTCTGTAGTGATAACACCTTGGAAACCCAAGGAGGGGTTGCTACGAGTTGTGTCCGACTTGACAGCACGTAACAACAACAACAACAGCAACAATAACAAATGACATGAATAATATTCATTACAGCACATCTCGGTGCTTAGCTTTAAAGTATAACCTCAGATACCACTGAGGTAGTATACAGCCAGACTTCAGATAGTCTTGAAGAATTAATTATAAATAATTACAGTTTTGTTTTTAGAAGTATATAGAATCAGCTAATGGAAAGGTGAAAAATAAGAAAGCAAGAGTGGAGGGCTTTGGCAGGTACTCAGCTTAGTAGATGAGGATATACAGGCTGCAGAGCTTCATTGTGTGGGGGTGGGTAAGGGGCAGTTCTGGATACTATTCCTGTGAAGCCATCTGTGATAGTTGGAGCTGTGTGTCAACTTGGCTGGACCACAATTCTGTGTGGTTTAAGCAGTTGTGATGGGGTTATTCCCATGATGGGATCAGGTGAATATGTTCTGAGCAGCCAATCCATTGAAAGGGAGTTTCCCTAGGGGTATGGCCTGCTTCCAGTATATCTATGGACATCCAGGGAAAAGAGACACTCTTCTGTGGATCAGGATTCTATTGTGGTGCCTACAAGTGTCTGTGAGCGAGCAATCCACCATTCAGCCTGGAGATCTTGGATTCATCATTTGTCGGAGTCAACAGCCAGTGTACTGCCTGCCAACCTTGAGCTCCTCAGCCCCTGGAGCTGCAAGAGTCAGGAAAAGCCTCCAGCTTGACGTTTGATCCAAGAACTTTGGACTTTCCAGCTTCTATAATTGTGTGAGCCATTTTCCTAAGATAAATTTCTCTTTCTCTCTCTATATAAGCTTTACTGGTTTTGTTTCTCTGGAGAACCCAGTCTAACACACCATCTTAACCAGCCTGTACTAAGATGGTGGTAGAGCAGATAAAGTTGGAACGATTTTTAAGTTTGTAAGACAGACATGGTGATTAATTGGATGTGGGGAGCAAGGAAGAGGAATGAATCAAGGGTAACTTCATAGTTTCTCCTGGGGCAGATATGCAGATCCAGATGTCATTCCTGGAGTCCAGGAAGATATGGCTCATCAACATTGCAAAGAAAACCTTACTCCCAAATGGGATTATATCCACAAATAGAGGAGTTAGGACATCTTACCTTTTCTGGGGACACAGTTCAGCCCATACACTTACAAATATTAACTCCAACTCAGATTACTTAAACTTCTTTAGTTAGCTCCATTGGCTTTTGAAATGTTTAATCTTAGAATTATAGGATGCTTCATTCTTATTCCCTTCTAACTCTCTGAGTTTATTTCGTAGGGTGAGCTTTTTGTTCCAAGTAATGGGGACTTTATAATTAGTATGAATGAGAGGGGTCAGGTGAAGAAGTGGCAAGAAACTATTTTTTTGGACAAATCTTAGCTTACCTTATAATATCTTTTTAGTTTCAGCTTTATAACTCAGACTTAGCAGAAAGCTCAGATTTAAAAAAACAAAACAAAACTGTACAGAGACCACTCCCAGGTGACTGTGCATGTGGGAACAGTGAGAACCTAAGTTATTCCTGCTAAGCTTAGCATGATGCTGAAACTTGTACTTAAGTGTTCTTCCTGACCTACCTTTCTGCTTTGCTGCTGTTTCACTGAGTGATGTTTTATAGCGCCACTTGTCTTTACTTGGAACCTACCTCTTTATAATACTCCTTCAAAGCAAAGAGAGCCCAGGAGTCTGAAAGCCTGCCGTTTTTCATAAGATTTTATCAAACTCACAGAGCTGACATTTGGCATGAAGGCTCATTTTAGGCACTATAAAGGCATAGGAGTGTGCTTTATACATAATTTGTGCCAAAAGTAGGAGGTCTTTGTGGTGATCTTTAATAACATAAATCAGATCTGAAAGCTTCTCTTTGTTTCCCCTTTGGGGCTACGCTAAAAGCAAAGACAACTTAATGTTCTTTTAGCTTATAAAATTTTGCCTCTTACTGTCTGGTACCATCTTTCTTAAATACTTGAAATCTTGATAGACCAAATGCAGTTCGTAATTTACACTATTCTTTGCCACAATATATCCCTATCAAAAAATCAAACCAAACTCACTGCCATCAAGTTGATTCTGACTTGTAGTGACTCTTCCTTGGGTTTTCAAGGCAGTATCTCTATGGAAGTAGATTGTCCATTCTTCCTTCTGAGGAGTAGCTGGTGGGTTTGAACAGTAAGATGCCTTAGGCACTACACCGCCAGAGCACCTATATACCCCTATAATTGAGTCCTTACAACCAAATGGCTCTTGGTAACAGGATTTCTCCAGTTTTAGCCATATTTTCTTTATGCTGTCCTTCCCTCTTAGAGATCAGGTCCTGTTGTTTTGTTTGTTTGCTTCTTAATTCCAGGGTTTATTTCAACTGTAGTTCTAGATGCTAATGCCAGGGGTAGTTTTTCAGGTTTAGTTTTCTCAGAAATGTAATTTAATCTTAGGTTGGTTCTTTATAATTAACACCTCTGACAACTATATAGACTTCAGAGGGAATCCAAGTCCCCTATGGCACCCAACCTGAAACCCAGTGTGTTTGATATTGTTTTTGTTGGAAGTATTCCTGAGTTCCAAGCCCCCTGTGTATCAGTAAGCTCCTGCAAAAACTTGTTACTTTATAGTTGTTTGCTGCTATTCTTGTTAATATGGGTACCTAAACTTGAGGAAAAGATATTCAGTATTTGTTTAGAAAGCTATTTGATTTAGAAGAATAAATGTATCTCAGTTAATTAAAAATAAGTGGTTTTTGTTTTTAGAAAGATGTAAACAGCTTTGAAAATCTGCTGGTATAGTGTCTAAGGCATTTGACTGCTAACCAGAAGGATGATGCTTCAAACCTACGAGCCATTCCATGGAAGGAAGATAAGACAGTCTACTTCCATAAAGATGTACCTCCTTGGAAACCCAATGGGGATCACTTTGAGTCAGAATTGACTCGATGGCAGTGGGTTTGGTTTTGGCTTTTTATCACGGAATATAACTTTGAATCTTGGTAGTTGCTGTTTTATTTTAAAGCATTTTCTTAGGGGAAAAATACCTATATTACCTATATTTTTAAAATATTACCTGTATTTAAAAAATAAATATGTTTAGATTATTTTCACCAAATCAACAAAACATGTTAATTAAATATTTTGACATTTACTATTTAATTTAAAACTGTATCTTAAATTTGGAAAGTACATTTAGAGCCAGAGAACATGCAAATGAGACATACAGGTTTATATTTAATCTGCACTACCTAGTGCCAGGAGCTCTGGTAGCATAGTGCCTAAGGCATTTGACTGCTAACCAGAAGGCTGGCGGTTCAAACCCACCAGCCACTCCTCGGAAGGAAGATGGGGCAATCTACTTCCGTAGTGATACTGCCTTGGAAACCCAAGGAGGGGTCGCTATGAGTCGGGTCCGACTCGACGGCACGTAACAGCAACAACAAGAAGTGTTAGTTTTTTCATTAGTACTGTTTTTTTCTCTAAGGGCTGTTGCAACAAAAATATAAAGACATTTAGGTCTGTGGTAAATTGAATTTGTTAGTCTAGCTCTAAATTCAACCACTATGTGAAATTGCCTATTATAGAGGAGTTGCTGGTTACTTTTTGTATATCCTTATGTAGCCTCTCTCATAGATTGACATCTTTTTTTTTAAGTCCAATATTCCAAATATTACTGCTCTGATTGTGTTTTGGCATAGTTTTCTAGAGGGCTTCATAGCAGAGCAGATAGCCATATAGTGCTTTCTAAGAAGTACAATCCTTACCTTCACCTATGAGAAGATAATCTGTTTTATCAGCTATCTAACTTGTAAACATACTGTTTTAGCTCAGCATTAAGAGTGACAATATCTTGAAAATTAGTGTGTAGAATTCCAAGGTGGAAGACTCCATTGCTCTTTTGCTTGTTATTATTTATTTTGCCACTTCCTGTCTTATGAAAGGAAATATAGGAAACCTAACAAGTGATTTATTTATTTAGCAAGATGTTCAATAGAACACCGTGTTAGGCACCAGGAATATCTTGAGTAAAAAAGATCTTATTTTTGCCCTTGTGAGCTTAGAATTTTGGAGGGTGATGATGATAGATAAACAAACCAATATATCATTGTGAATTATTGTAAGTGTGTGGAGGAAAGGAATGAAATGCAGTGACAGAAGAATCTGCTTAAGGTGGTCAAGGGATCAGGCAGCTTTTTATCTGTCTCTTTTTCATATGTTATCTTCACCATTTTAATTTTTGTTTAAATAATATTTTCTTGTGTTTTTGGTGAAAATTTATACAGCAAGTTAGATTCCCATTTGAAAATTTTCATACATATTGTTCGATTACATTAGTTACATTTATCTGAGTGTTAACATTTATCACAGTCTATCAACATTTTCTTTGGTTATGTTCAGTTTGCTCCCTTTCCAGGACACTAGTTTCCCTGCCCCCTTATCTTTTTTCTTTGCTTTTGAGTAACTGTTGACCTTTTGATCTCATAATGGTGGTTTTAAGTAGGACAGTGATCTTACAGGTAATATCTGTTGTTTTGTGTGCCACTCTGCTATATTGCTAAAAGCTGGTCTCACAGGATAGGGTTGGTTCTAGATTTGTAGAGTGTCTCAGGGTAATAGTCTCAAGGAGTACTCTGTTCTCTGCTGTTCTCTCCATATTTTTCTCCTATTCTATCTGGAGCAACTATGGTAATCACAGTCAGAATGGTCTGTGGTGGTAGCTGGGCACCATCTAGTTCTTATGGTCTCAGTGTTGATGAGGTGGTTCATGTAGACTTGTTTCTTCTTTATACTTTTGGCTACATTCTTACTATTTTTCTTTTGGAGATTAGAGACCATAGCTATTCTTAGATGGCCACTTCTAAGCTTTTAAGATCTCAGGTGCTACTCATTAGGATCCAAATCATAATTTTTGTGAAACGTGTTATGACAGTTGACTGAGTTGTCCCATGAGACTATGGTCCTAAGACTTCAAACCCAGAATACCATGTTGAAAATTGTTTGGTTTTGTCTGAGGAGTACCCATATTTGTGTCTTCAGTGAATATATGTGTCTGCACCCACATATTTGTATTTACAGATACCTATAAATACTTCTGGGAGCTCTGGTGGCATAGTGCCTAAGGTATTTGACTGCTAAACCAGAAGGCTGGTGGTTCAAACCCACCAGCCACTCCTCTGAAGGAAGATTGGGCAATCTGCTTCTGTAGAGATAGCACATCAGAAACCCAAGGGGAGGGAGTCTCTATGCATTGAATTGACTTGATGGCAGTGAGTTTGTTTTTTTTTTTTGGTATAGATACTTTTGTCTTTTCTGACCTATGTACATATCTGTACCTACCATTCAGTCTGTATGCTGAGCAAATAATCCAAGAAACTGGGCTATATGGAGAAGAATGTGGCATCAGGATTGACAGAAGACCTACTAACAACTTGTGATATGGAGATGACACAACCTTGCTCACTTAACGTGAAGATGACTTGAAGCACTTATTGATGAAGATCAAAGACTGCAGTCTTCGGTATGAATTACACTTCAACATAAATAAAACAGAAATCCTCATAACTGGACCAATAAGCAGCATCACAATAAATGAATAAGAGATTGAAGTTGTCAGGGATTGCATTTTACCTGGATCCACAATCAACACCAGTGGAAGCAGTAGTCAAGAAATCAGACACCATATTGCACTGGGCAAATGTGCTGCAAAAGACCTCTTTATTAAGAAACAGAGATGTCATTTTGAAGACTAAGGTGTGCCTGATCCAAGCCATGGTATTTTCAGTCATCTTGTGCATGTGTGAAAGCTGGACAACAAATAAGAAGCCTGAAAAAGAGTTGATGCCTTTGAATTGTGTTGGCAAAGAATACTGAAAATACCTTGGACTGCCGGAAAAACAAACAAATCTATCCTGGAAGAATTGTAGCAAGAATGCTCCTTGGAAGCGAGAATGGCCGTACATTGTCTCACCTACTTTGGTCATGTTGTCAGAAGGGACCAATCCCTGGAGAAGGATATCATGCTTGGTAAAGTAGAGAGTCAGCGAAGAAGGGGAATACCTTCAATGAGATGGATTGACACAGTGGCTGCACCAGCGGGCTCAAGTATAGCAAGGATTTTGAGGATGATGCAGCACTGAGCACTATTTCACTCTGTCGTACGTAGGCTTGTTATGAGTTGGAGTTGACTTCATGGCACCTAACAACAACAGTGGCTAATGAGCATGAACATCTTTCCATATGTTTGTTGGCTGATTGAATGTCCATTTTGATGAAGGCTCTCTTCATATCCTTTGCCTATTTTTGATTAGATTGTTTGCCTTTTTGTTGTTAGGTTGTTGCAGTTTTCTATAGATTTTAGAAATTAGAACCTTATTAGAGAAATTGTTTCTAAAGATTTTTTTTCCCAGTTTGTCTCATCCATGAAGAAAGCAAAAGGTCATTACAAAGACAGGAAAGGAAGAAAAGACCAAAATTGATGTCAGAAGAGACTCTGAAAGTTGCTCTTGAATGGAGAGCAGCTAA